GAGAGATCTCTCTTTAGCTCACGGGGCTAGGTCGCTGCAGAGAGACGCGGAAGTCCCGGGTTCGAGCCCCGAACGGTGCAGGGGCCGAACAGATGCGGCAAGGGCCCCGCCTGAGCCCCCGTTGCATTACAATATTTTATATTTGTCTGCAGCACCCATATACACAATATACAGTACATGGACAATCACAGGTAAACAGAATATCAGTTCAACCATTCAATTATCTCCCTTTTTTATTGCTTTTGCTTCATCCTTATGCTTGGTACTCATTCTGCTCACTCTAGCTGTACCTAATTGTGCAGAAATCACAGGCTGAACAAATTGCAGCTTTGAAGAGTAATGTGATATGTGTAAGTGCTTAATGGATTAATATTTGAAGAAACCATAAATACAGCATGTGAGTCATTCTTAACATCTTAGAACTCTGTAAGTCTCCTGGGGAAAATCTAAAACGAGAAACACAAGATTTTAAAGAAATATTGGTGATATTTATATCCTCCGACAAATTCTCAGCTCTTCTCGTGAACACATAATTAACAGTAGACATGCTATTAGCACGCAGATGAATGTGCATCCATTTAGTAGACGAGCTTGCACGTGGAATAAACTCTGCAATTAATATGGGATCAGTATTTCCTGCTTTAAAAAATACACAGGCAAACTCTGAAATACTCTGATGAGAGATTGCTCGTTTTAAAAATTGCCCCGCCCAATCTTTTGGTACTGTTTAAGGGAGGTATAGGCTACTCAAAAAAGCATAATCTTTTTTTAACCACTGTCTTTAATGCTTTGCCAATAGATGTATGTTATTTTGTCCTGCTGATTTATGTTTTCTTGCTTCATCATCTGCAAATTAAAAATTAAAATAATTTAACATTTACCTAGAGTTAAATGTACCTATTCTAAACATAACATTTTTGTTACCCTCTACATGAGCATCTCGTGAGATAAAAATGTCCTTGATAAAAATAGCATGCATATTTTATACAGCGTGCACTTCACAATATTCGCGTCGAAGAGGGAGTAGTTTGTAGTCTTCACTTGCTTGAATGTCACCCTGACCCCGCTGTGAAAACTGCAGTTTTAAGTAACAAAAGTAAATAAACCTTTTCATGTGAACCCTTTTGTTTTTCCTTTGTAACGTTTGGCTCATACCTGTGTTGGGATGTGACAGACTAACACTTTCAGATCCGTCAAAACTTTTTTTAAGAAGCCTCCAGAAAAAGAACAAATGGTTAGTGTGTTATTTGCTGTGATCACGATTTAGAAAGCTGTTGGGGATTTTTTAAGGAGGTCTGCAGGCTGTTCCGCCCGATTTGAAAGTAATCACCGTGTCAGTTTCACCTTTCTTATGCAAAAGAGTTGTCTTTGAAGGCGGATCTCTTAGCAGGTTAGCCCAGGACGGGGGAGAAGGCACTATCAAAACTGCAGCGCAACCAACTACTAGCTAGAACTCTGTCTGACGCCGGAGTGTTGAAGAGGAAGTTTCAATCTAGTCTCTCGCTTGCTTGTGAACGCAAGATACAGTATTTGCATTTCATACATCAGTTTTTGTGATCCGGGGTGAAAATACCCAGTAATTGAAAAGTAGTTTAAATTACATTTTTAACAAAGGATTTGATACGCTGGATTTTGAAAAAGACAACCCATTACCGCGGATGCTGCAGCAATACGGTGGTGGAAGGACATTCTGCCTATATTCAAGAGAAATAAGAGTATCGGTTTTGCCGATTGACTAAAGATCGTGGATTCTGTCGCTTTGAAGGGTTCAGAACACTTTTTTTTGTGTTAAAAGAAAAGTAGGCTGAAGACGGACCTCTCTTCGCATTGGATGAGAAGGACATTTATAACACCGTATGTTGCTGTATTTTTCTTCACGTTTCTGGCTCTGTTAACTGAATTAATGTACAAGAACAGTTCGCGTGTTGTACCGTGGCGTTATTTTTCACATCAGTCAATGATGGTTTGAATAACCGTTTCAAGAACTTTTGGGTGAATTAATCTTACAACCGGAGGCGCAAATAAATGCGGGACTTGGATGGGCAGTTTTCTAAGTTTATTCCAGCATCGCCAGCACTGAACCACATCTATACATTTTCAAGACGAAGACTTCGGTTACGTTATGCAACATTTACGTTATAAATGAAACCTAAAATCAAGCACAGTGTTAAAGAAGAAAGCGTTCCCTAGTTTTATGTAGGCTATCGTTGTTGCTCTGCTTGAGAGATTATTCACACGAGAATGCCTCTCTCTGTGACTCTGAGCCTGCTCTGCCTCTTCCTAGCCTATGTGGCTCCCTGCTGCTCTGCTATAAGCTCTATTGATCCTGACCGTCCAGCGGAGGGAAGATGCCAGCATATTGTAATTCCCTTGTGCAAAGACATTGGATATAACATGACTAGGATGCCTAACTTGATGGGTCATGAGGACCAAGGGGAAGCTGCCATCAAGTTGCATGAATTTGCTCCCCTGATTGAATTTGGATGCCACAGCCATCTGAAATTTTTCCTCTGCTCCTTGTACGCACCTATGTGCACAGAGCAAGTGTCCACCCCCATCCCAGCCTGCAGGGTGATGTGTGAGCAGGCAAGGCAGAAGTGCTCACCCATCATGGAGCAGTTCAGCTTCAAGTGGCCGGACTCCCTGGACTGCAGCAAGCTCCCCAACAAGAATGACCCGAACTACCTTTGCATGGAAGCGCCCAACAACGGCTCGGACGAGTCTCCCAAGGGCTCCAGCACCCAGCCTCCAGAGTTTCGGCTCCAGAGGCCCAACAGCGGCCAGGAGTTTCAGCTCAAAGACACCAGCGACAGGGAAGCTTGTGGCAACCCGGGAAAGTTCCACTATGTGCAGAAGAGCGAATCCTGTGCCCCAAAATGCTACCCCAAAGTAGATGTTTACTGGAGCCAGGGCGATAAGCAGTTTTCCCTTATTTGGATAGCTATCTGGTCCATTCTTTGCTTCTTCTCCAGCTCCTTCACTGTCCTCACCTTTCTGATTGACCCACAGCGCTTCAAATACCCAGAGAGGCCCATCATCTTTCTTTCCATGTCCTACTGTGTCTATTCTGTGGGCTACCTCATCCGGCTCTTTGCTGGGGCAGACAACATTGCCTGTGATCGGGACAGCGGGGTCCAATATGTCATCCAGGAGGGCTTGGAAAGCACAGGATGCACCATAGTCTTCCTCATCCTGTATTATTTTGGCATGGCCAGCTCCCTCTGGTGGGTGATTTTGACACTGACCTGGTTCCTGGCTGCTGGCAAGAAGTGGGGACATGAGGCCATCGAAGCAAACAGCAGCTATTTTCACCTGGCAGCATGGGCCATCCCTGCAGTCAAGACCATTATGATTTTGGTCATGAGGAAAGTGGCAGGGGATGAGTTGACAGGTGTCTGCTATGTTGGCAGCATGGACATTAAAGCCTTAACCGGGTTCGTACTTATCCCTCTCTCCTGCTACCTCATCATAGGGACCTCTTTCCTTCTGTCTGGCTTCGTTGCCCTGTTCCACATCAGGAAGATCATGAAGACCGAAGGAGAGAACACAGACAAGCTGGAGAAGCTTATGGTGAGGATAGGGGTGTTCTCAGTGCTGTACACTGTCCCTGCCACTTGCGTCATTGCGTGCTATTTTTACGAAAGGCTCAACATGGATTACTGGAAGGTGCTGGCCAGTGCACAGAAATGTTTCGAAAGCAGCACCAGCAGTCCGGGGGCAGAAGAGTGCATCATGAAGAACTCCATACCAGCCGTGGAGATCTTCATGGTGAAAATTTTTATGCTTTTAGTGGTAGGCATCACAAGTGGCATGTGGATCTGGACTTCCAAAACTCTTCAGTCCTGGCAAAATGTTTTCAGCAGGAAGTTAAGGAAGAGAACAAGGAGAAAGCCTGCCAGTGTCTTCACAAGTAGTGGACCCTATATAAAACCTCACCCTCCACTTAAAGTGCACAACGCAAAGTATGAACCAGCAGGGCAGCCTCCAACATGTGTTTAACTGTTTCCCTTGAATGGAGCCAAATCTCTCTTTTTCATTTTTCCTGAGCTGCGTTCATCGCTGACTGAACTATAAGAAAAGCAAAACGACAACAAAAAAAAAGAAACAAAAAAATGTAGCTGTTCAATGTGATTTTTATGCAAACAGTTGAAAAGATGCAATGTATTGAGATACAGTATAATTAATAGGACTTCTGATTCTGTGTGCACATCAAGTAAAGCAAACAGTCTTTTATATGGGTTGGGCAGACTTTTATTTGAACATAACCCCTCACAAAGTTTCGCAAAATTATAAGAAAATGTTTTGGTTTGGAGGAAAGAAAGGAATAAATAGTTTGGATGAGAGGATGGGTTGCTTGAATAATGTGCAATAGATGTTTTCCTTAGTGACAAAAAAGACACAAGTACTGTAGAAACAGATTAAAGACTAAAAGGACTCCTCAACAAAGGGAATGAATGGTCTGGGAGACAGAAGCCCTTCAGTGTTGCGTTTTGTGGCTTTTTAATGGAAATCAAGCCAGTGTCATACATGTTTGAACCGATGTGAAGAAAAAAAGGATTAGTTGAAAAGGGCTCAGGGAGCGTATGGACTGCCTATTGTAAAGCAAATTCTTGCCATAAATGAATCAACAAGCACTAGATATTGCAAAACTTTTTTTGTACAGCCGACTGCTCTTTTTTATGTCTGTGTTTTTTGTAGCACAGAAAAAAGTTTGTATATATTTCTAAAAGAAAGGTTCAGTATTTTATAAAAAAATAAAATTGTTTTTTTTTTTTAGTTTTACATGTGTTTTCAAAACTTTATATATTTTTAATTATATTTTGCAAGTGAACACTTATGATTTAGCCACTGTGTAAGTAACAGGAAAAAAAAGGGGGAATAAAGGAGATTGTACTAATTTTCCAATTTATATTTTTTCAGTAAAATCTATTTTTGCAAATAAAAAAAATCTACATCTGAATGATGCTAAGGAGTAGAGATCTTAATCATTGTTTCACGTTGATGTAACAAATACATGATTCAAGTGCATTTTAAAATATGGAATTCATTTGAACTACTTTTCAGTTTAGTGGATTTGTACAGTTGCACACTTAACACTTCACTTGTAAAAGAAAAAAAATCTAAAGTTATTTTTTCACAACGTAAACCTTATAACTTTAAAGATCACCATTTTGACATTAAGATGAAAGTAAACAAATTCATATGTACAGTAGTTGGAGGTTAGGATACAGTTTTATTCAAGTCATGCTTATAAAATGACTATGTAATGTGAAAGCATTTGCCAATCAGAGTTATTACATTTCTTCAATAATTTTACTCATAATCCATCTGTACCTAATTTTCCTAAAATTTGTTTGATACTAAAAATTGAATTTGGATCATGGACTTTTTCCTTGTCAGAAGAGGAAATGTTACAGATGAGAATAGTTTAGATTATTGTATCATGTTATTTTGTGTTTCATATTATGATTCGGGCTAAATTTCTGCAAACATGTTAGGAAATTTGCTTTGGTTTCAACACTAAAATGGACATATTGCACATTTCCTGGTAAAAAAGACAAATGAATACACAGAATTAAAGCATACATTGGTTTGTAATAAATGTCCAGAAAGAGGTTAACTCTGTTAATTGTTATTGAAAGACTTTGGGGATTACTTTAACTGTCTCATTGTAAGTTGAAAAGGGGAGCTGACTCAGTTTTAGAAAAAAAAAAAGTTTGATGACATCAAAGAGATTTTCAACAAAGCAGAGTTTGTAGTTTTGTTTTGTTTTTTTAAGCAAGGCACTTTTGAGGTCTAGGCTTTAATATTTCACTGCTTTTAATATTAATCTATTCATGTCTATGTACAGGTTAGTATAAGCAGTATGGAAATAAGGCTTATAAACCTTTAACTTTTATTTCTCTTTAACTTAAAATCAGGTCAGTTCTGTAATGTAGTCCTAGAAAGAAGCATATTTTTCATTATCAAAACAGATTGCTTATGTACAGTATGTGGTATCTAACCTTAATGGTCTTACACTAAACAAGGTCATTCAGAAAGTTTTAAATTAGGAAAATATTTTCATTTGAAATGTTTTTCTTCTGGTTTATCATGAAAACCATTTTATTTTTCCCTTGATTGATGTTGAATCCTGACTTGATCAATCAAACTCTAAACCATTCTGCTACCTCATTAGCAATGCACATCTTGCTAGGAATAAACATCATTTTCAACCAGTCTCTGCTAATACAAAAGCGTGGTTCTGTATGTTTAAGGTGTGTGTTTTTTTCCAGAATGCTAGACATGATAGATGTGCCAAAATTAACTCCTTTTTAGACTGAGGCAAAAATTGTAAGCAATAATTCTCTTAGTGGTATTATATAGGCAAGACGAGCAATTAATGTTGTATAATTTACCTTTAAGAACCAAAGTTTTGTATGTAAAATATTTCCTACATAATTCTTTTGAATTAGAAGATCATAATGTTTCTTTGAGGTTTTATTAATCATTGAGGATAAAGTACTTTTTGTAAAAATATTAAAATGTTTTGAGATAAATATTTTTAGCTTGTAGATTTGTAAAACCATAAAAATTGTAAATGTGGTCAAAACTATCCTCCAAAACAAATACTGAGTAAATATAAGTAACGGATAATGTTTGACTTTACTATAGTTTGTTCTGAATCAAGTTTACAGAATTCCTGTGGAACATGGTGCTGCTCTATTTTTTCCAATCTGTTCTGCAATCAGTAACATAATGGACAGGGGTTCGTTTTCGACTGGAAAGTCAATGTTTAAAAACTAGATGTTAGTCGATAGTACTAGACCTGTTGTTTCAAAGGCAGTTAAAGGTTTTAAGTAAAGACATACTATGCTCAGTAATGTCCATCTGTAACAATTTCTTATTGTTAATTCAGAGGCATAGGGGGCATGCTTTGAGCCCTACACATGATCCACACAGAAAGTGAGAAAAATGCAAAAAGCATCCTTTGGCATGAACCTTCAGGCTCATTCTTTAAAATGACTTTAAAGCTATTCTGGGTATAATTGCGTTAAGAATGTATGAAAGATTCCGTACTAAAAGAGGACATTTTGTCTATTTTACTTGTTTGGTGGCTGACAGATAAATATTCTAAGAATTTTGCCTAACATTTTATAGGCTTGGATGTTGAACTGAGCAGACATTGACAAATAGTTCAAAATAAAAATAAAATTATTATTTATATAAAATCACCTATTCTATTTTTTAAATAACAAATGACATTTCTAAAGATACATCTGGTACCTATTTTATGAGGTTCTCTTTGAAATGTGAATAAACCTAGTTTTGTAAAGGAGACTAAGCCTTAGAAAATTCAGCTGTACATGTGGTGCAAAGCATTCTGCTTGGTACTGTATATCTCTTGGAAGTACATGTCTCATCATGAATTGGATCCTGGTCTTTTATGTTCACAAAGATCTTGCAAGGCTCTGTTGTTAGTGCATTTCTTTGCCACTAAAACACCTGTGTGCTAATTACAAATACCATTATGGGAAAGTAATTCTTTTATTATTGCTGTGTTTATGGAAGATAACCCCTGTTTTACTTCGAGAATTAGTATGTCAAGACAAGAATAGTTTCAGAACAGCATATGTCAAAGCCTATACAGCAGTAACATTCAATAATATTTTCTTACGTTTTATTATATCTTATTATATTTTATATAGTCAAAACTAACCTAAAACTCCTGACAAAGTTCTACATATATTACTAATAATAACAATTACATGTGAAATTCCCTATATATCTTGTATTTTTAGAAACTTATTGAAAAGTACTGTAGTTCTCCATTTTATGTATATACAGTTACATCATGCGTTAATGGAATAGGTTATAAAGGCATAATTTTATAATGCATATTCAGGTCTGTCTCCTTAATTTAATGGAAGAAATAAGCTATAATGATTATCCTTCTTATGTGAGCAAGAATAAGTGGTTTATCCTTTTGAAACAAGGATCTGATTGTATTGATAGCTTATTCATAGATGCATAAAAAGTAGACTGTCAGCAGAATTATGATGGGCTCAGGGAAAATACACTTGTGCTATCATAATCAAAAACTAAAATAATTTCTGAAATGTCCACCTCAAAACCAACCTAAGAATAGAAGTAGTATCGTCAGTTTTATGTGGTTATAATAAAACTGTACAAGGTGCACTGCCAGAGCAGGTTAATGCTAAATATGTATCTTCCCAGGGGGCATTCAAGTTCCAACATTAACAAAGCCTGTTTTAACAGTCAAATCTAGATGAAACATTGTCATATTGTAGCCATATGAAAGTGTGAAAGTATTGAGGCGTGTCTACTGATAATGTATGCTACAAAAATCTACATTCTGCTTTTCATTGTTGTCCACCAGCTTTGTAATGATCTAGGTGTATTTTAAGGTTGTAAATAGAAATGACAAAGCTCTCATTTTATTATTCTCAAAGTACTTCACAAATTGCCGATATTTCAAGACATTTTTAAATGAATGTAAATTTAAACATCTTTAAAACAAAAAAACAGTGCTTACAAAAGTCTATAAATGCCTCATGCTAAATGTCCTATTGCCCTGACAGAAATTCACTGTAAAAATACAAAGTCAGTTCACAGGAATTACTGTCAGTAATGTGAATTTGATACTGTGAAGTGAAATGCAAATGCTAAGTATTGCATTTTCAATAGATTTTTAGAAAGTAGGATTTGCAAGCTTATTTCTCTTATTTTTGTGCTTAACGTTACTGCTTAGAACTATAAAACTGTAATACAAAAGTGCTGAGTAAAAAAATGAGTAAATGCCTTTTTTCTTTATTGTTTTTTAACTGTTTTATATGAGGTTCAGAGATGTTACTTAACAACACATCACATGACATACAGTACGTGTGCAAACTTTTCATGAATCACTTTGGGGAAAAAAGCAATATAAAATAATAAAGAAGTAAGGTGAAGTCAGAATTTCTCTCTATATATAATTTCTGTATGTAGTTTCAACATTCTTCATAGACTGAACATCTGTATTGGATTTGTACAATTTAAGAGTGAGCAATTGAATGTATTTTTATTATCATTAATTTATATCTTTACTCTTTGCATGTTTTGGGAGATACTGTTGTTTTCTAAATGTAGAATGATCCAAACTGCAGCACGGAGCTCTATTATCGAATCAGAAAAGGAGTTCATTAAATATTTTTAGCACTCCTGGCCCCTTTCAGACCACGATGGTTTTAGTCAATTGTGTGAGAGAAACCACTTTTTGTTTTTCCCCGTGGGGGTTCTGGCAACAAACGTCTGCTGGGGTGTCGGCCTCATGATCACTAGTCCTCCAAGCTCCCTCAGCCTCTCGGGGAAGATGGATATTGCTTAGAAAACGAATAAGTGAAGGAACTCAAAAAGTCTGTTTACTGCAAACCG